GGAAATATAAAAAATATAGAAAGTATAGAAAATATAGAAAGCGAACGTACATTGCATTGCTTAAATAGATAAACTTTGATTGAGATCGATAAGGGAAACCGCGAACTGAGACCGAGTGCCACAAATCTTGTATTTCACATAAACGTTCGCTGTCTATCTATTAGTAACAAAGATTAGCGTTTATTAATGTTCACTAAGTAATCGTATTAGCAAGTTTCTCAAAAGACACACCTGTTGATTCTTAGCTTCACGAACGCAGTGTACGATTTTACTTGAAATAATCTAATACAAAGCATTATAATAAATACACTCGCTTATGAGTTTGTTTACGTTATGTTATATTTATTATATTTACTATAATTTCCTAAAAATTAATTGATGCTATATTTATTTTATCTACCATAATTTTCCAAAAATCAGTTCGTCTTACATTTGTTATAATGTTACGTCTGCTATAATTCGCTAAAAAATAGTTGATGCTATACATAGACATATATCTTCCATTGTTAAACGAAATGAAAACTGGATAGGAGTCCTGAGATCACCGATGGACGACCCGTACGACCAGATGCGTCGGAATCGGCTGGTGGAACCCAGAACCCGAGCCCGAAGCATCTCGCCGCATCGGCCATTACCTCAACGCGATTCCCGGAGCCTGAGCATCGCGAGGAATACCCGAAAGGGCTCGATCGAAGGTACCTCCTCGAGATCCGAATGGTTCGACAAAGAAACAGTCGCGAGCTACGAGGAAGGGACGCGCAAGCAACGAGCGAGCTTCACTGGTCCATTCAGCGACGAGTGGCTAGACGAGGTCTCATCGCCGCCACTGTTAACAAACCCGCAGAGTCCATCAGCGCCGACGACTCCACCAGGCCGACTGGTTCGAATCCCAAGAAAAGTGAAAGCCTCAAGGAACGAATGGTCAGATCGTAAAATTATCAAAACTGAGATCGGTCAGGCGAAGATCAATCGTCAAGACGAGAGACAGGAGAGACCATTGAATAGTAGTAGTGATTCGAGAAAAAGTATACTCGAATGCGACGTGAATCCGTATTTATTATTAAAGAAGTTGAAGGACGAGGACGATTTAAGTGACGATTTGTCGGACAATGCCTTGGAACAGGAAGACGGCAGACCAGTTTCTTCCAGCCTCTTCGATTCCTCGAAAGTGAAGTCAATTGAAAGGATACAGAGTCGAAGTGCGGTGGCTGCGATCGGCGGTCAGAGGATCAGAGTGTTCAACGAACCACACCGCGAGATCTCAGACGATGAAGAATTGCCGCCAGTCACGAGGATTCCTATACCAAAAGTTTCACCTAGAAGACCACCGAGAAAGCTTAAAGAAGCTAAGCAAACTTTGAAGAGTATCCTGAAACGAGGCAAGATACCAGAGACCAGGAGGAAAAATGTTTTGTTCAACGTTGATAATGTTATTTTTGCACCTGAGAAACCGTCGGAAGTGACACGACTCAGCTGGAGTAGAATTGGTAGGATTGCTAGTTGTACTAGGGAAGAAGCGAGTAATGAGGAGACAGAGGAGGAAGAGGAGGAGGATGAAGAGGAGGATAGTGAGAAGGAAGAGGTGCCGATAACTGTGAACAGGGTTGATCAAAAGGAGAAATATAATTTTATTACTATTCCGAATATTAGAGACCCCAGGGTGGGTAAGGTTCGACCTAAGGAATCTAGATTCTTGCAAGACTCGTGCCAAAATTCTATTAATCCCGATGGGATTCAAGTAGATAAACATACTGGTAATAGATTAGTAGATAAAATCTCTTCTGGTAGTGTGGAACGTATTGCTTCGAGGAGGATAGAGAACGAATCGCACAGGCAAATCGATGTATCGGATGTTCCAAGAAAGTTCGCTGAGCAAAGTGTTCGTTCGTTGAAACGTGAGAATATCAAGAGTGAAATGGAGAGGAAGAGGATAGACGAATGCAAGAGAATCGAAGTGGAGGAAGATGCTGAAATGAGGATTGAGATTGAAGATCGCATTCCTGGAATTACTGTAGACGAAGAAGATTTGATATTGAAGTCTGAGGGTAAGTGTTTTAAACCTATCTTTTGTATTATTATCGACATTTTTATTGAGTATACATAAGTGATTCCATATTCTTCTCGAATTGTTCAATTTGAAGGGATAACCATTTCCGAAACGTTTATATTTAATTTGAAGTTAGACAAGAATCGTGCAATGATTAATAAAAATTTATCCATAGAATGGTTGGAATAATTTTTTCAGAGAACTCCAAGAGATCGTCCCTTTCACGTAGCCAAAGCGATCGATCGTTCACCAGACCCGAAATATCAGCTGGCGACGTTCTTTTCACAGACACTATGCGTCTAAGCCTCTGCCGGAAACTAAAAGAAACGTCCCCTTCTTCAAACGACCAAACGATCATTCAAAATGATTCAGAGAAGCATTCAAATTCTACGAGCCAAATCGATTTAATTAAAATCAAATGTCAGCCCGAATTATCGAACATAAAAGAAGTCGAGGAAGTCCCAATAGAGAAGAAGATAAAATCAGAAGATAAAACAGAAGCCGTGACAGAAATAATAGGAACTAAGGTGAAATCAGGAAGTGAAACGAAAGCCCTGACAGAAATTTCAAATCGCTTCGAAGGGAGGAACGATCACTTCCGAGGGATGAGGCCCACCAGCTGGTCCCCTCCACCTGGTAAAATAAAACGTTACAAAACCAGTGATTCGAAACTGAAAGAAAACACAGAAACAGATCGAAACAGTCCAGCCATGGTAACCTGGAGTACATTGAATTCCTATGGACCCTCCAAAGTCGAGATCAGTTCACCAAATACTGAGAACAATGTCTATAAAATCACGGTTAGTCCTCAGGCATCGCCGTTGGTACATCGATTGCAGATAGACCACGGTGCCGTCCAATCAGGTACCACCGGTTCAAGGAGAACTTCAATTTTAATTAACAGTGATTCAACGACTGGTAATGAGCCTCTTAATAAAGTGACCATCAGTGTCGGCGGTGAAGATGTTTATAATCCAACTGTGATTTCAGTGAACGAAAGTCCTACACTAATAAATAATTCTAATGAGAATAGAACTCTTGTTATCGTTGACAATTACAAATCGAATATTATGGTTCCTCCTAGTGAAGATCCAAAAGGAAGAGAGAGAGAGAATTTGAGATCTGGAGAACCGAAGAGCATTGAAGATTCTGAATGTCTTCGAAGAAACAGTGAGTCTTCGGATAAGCTTGCATCGGAAATGTCGAGAACTTCGGAAGAAAAGGATCGTGGGACTTCGGAAGAAAAGAATAATCGTGGGACTCGAAAGAACCAAGACGCTGAAAATCCCTCTAAGCTTTTCAGTCAATCGAAAGAAGTCTTAATCTCAAAACTACTTGAAGATTCCTTAAGGAAGGCCAGGGAGAACGGAGAGATTCTCGACGAGGACAGTGGCGAGGCTATATTAAAAATATTAAAACAGACTTTGTTGAAGAGTAAAGAGTACGAAAGCTCCGAGTCTACTCTAGAAGCGAATTACTCGAGGACTTCTAGCTTGAATTCGGAGGCTGATTTCGTCTCGACGAATCTTTTCCTCGAGGAGAACACTTACGAGGTGATAAAGGAGCCTATTTACGAAGAAATTCCGGACGAGCCTCCTCCTTTACCGTTGAGTCCTCCGCCTACTGAGGACTATTTGAAAGACAGAATATACTTCGGTGATATTGATTACTATAGTAAGAATACTGGCCAGTTTCTCGGTTCTTATTTAACAGAAAATGTGTTTAAGAAATCGAACTCTGAAGATTTGGCAGAAACGTATTTGTCTAAGAGTCCTGAGGATTTTTTTAAGAAAATGTCTGTGTCTCCGGAGGAAGAGAATATTTCGAGTAAGTTCGAGTTGTTGAATTTCTTGATGGACTCAAAGGATCGAGTGTCTATTGAGGGGGAGGACGAAGAAGACACGGAAGGAGACCTGGAAGCTTTGTATGAGCAGAAGGAAACTAGTCTTGGTGATCTGAGTTCAAAGAGCTCGCAGATTTCGAATGTGTCTGATAGCAGTGAAGAATGTAACATCATTCTGACGAATTCATCTGAAACGTCCAAGGTGAGATTTAATATGTCAAAAATTATACAAATTCTTAATATATCGAAAAGCGTTAAAAGTTCCTAATATAAAATAATTAATAAGAAAATATTTTGTCGATCCTACTTCAATCATTTTTTACTATTTTCTATATTATGAATGTGACAAACTTATTAAAAATTTGTACATGCAAGAAATTGATATAGTGCAATAAAATGCGCTGTCTAATACTAACATCGATCACAATTCGTCTGATCGAATCGAAAGAATGAAAGAATTGTGAAAGATATAAATGAATTGTGGCTGTGTATTTGCACAGGCGAGAGTTGTGGATATCGAGAGGACCGATAGCGGGGTGGGATCGGAAAGTAGTCAGGCGAGCAGTACTCGGGGCGTGCCGAGACGTTGGAGAGCAGGAAACGTCTCCTCGAGGCCAGGAAGTCTACTCGCAAGTGGAATCCCACAAGTGATTTCCGGTGATTCAAAGCTCTGCGAAGATTGCGAACAACGTTTAGACCCTTTAATAACAGACAGGCAAGCTTACATTATATTTACATTATTACATACTCTTCTTCTTCTTCTTCTTCTCTTGTAATTATTATTATTATTATTATTATTATTATTAAAATGACAAAAAGACATCAAGCTAGTCGCTGTAGTTGAGTCACGGTTAGCCGCGGTGGTGTGCGTTTGGTGGCATCCACGGTCCACGCCACATGAACGTGCTGAACAGAGTAGAGCAAATTGGAGTTCTGACAGGTTGCAGTGGGGTGTCCCACCGTCCAATGGTGCAGAGAAAACGGATAGGGGCACCCCGGGATCCCAGACACCTATAATCGTACGGGCATAAAGTTGCCCGCTCGGAAACCTACACTACTGTCCGGGACCCGACCGCGATACTCGTTATCCGGACTCGAATTAAATTCGAGACCTTTTTCTCCTCTGATCGTATACATCGGGAACAATTTTACATCCGAGGGACACATCGTGCTTTATCAAAAATATTATTATTTAACCTTCGCCCGTTCCTCCTGTCATTTCGACACGCATTCACTGCAACAGAGTCGCTTGTATTTTCATCAGCAAAGAATTTGCTTCAAGTTCCCATGGACGGAGATAGAAATGAACAGAAATCGGTATTCTCGCTTCGAGCGAAGAGTCTCGTTTAATTCTTTGAATATCGCAGCAATTCGATTATAGATCAGACGAGGTCATCGATTGATAACGATCAGACTTCATTTACAAGAAAATTGAATATGCAGCGAGTAGAAAGTATAATATACGAGAGTGCATGGAATACCGGAATCTAGTGTTTATTTTCATTCCTTAAATTGATATTTCGTATAAAAATCGGTGATCTACTCACGGGAGCCTATTTTCCAATCTGCATACATTAACACTGAATTCGAGCGAAGAACGGAGCTCGTTTCGAGCGCTGCGCGTGTGAGCGTTGTGACATGATAAATCGGACGCAGTCGACGTAGATAATTCCAGGCTACGGCGTGTACGCATCATACATAGATACACAGGGAAAGGTATCGATAACGGTAAAAAATAATGTGAATAGTCGTGTAAAGGCCTGTTACGCCGCGAGGAGCCGAGGCGACGGAGCGAAAGACGGTCGAGTTCGTGGCCAACGTCGGGATATTAATTTCACGGTATACCGTGGCGTTATAAAAATAAATTACGGGCGAGAAACGAGCCGTCGCGTCGCGGCTGCCGGATTAAGTAACGAAACGTTCCGAGGACATTTCCATCCGGAGGAGCCCCGGGTTCGTCTCCGAGCGGCCGACCGACAGCCTCTATCGGGATAGCCCGATGGAACGAGAGGAACGACTATAAATCGCGCACATAATGCTGCTATCAACGTGCATTACACGGATGCCGCTTTGTTTGATAAATCGCTAGATGCAAATTGCGTGCGGTCGACGCGGAGACCGGATTGGCTTCGGTTTCTCGGACTGTACGCGATTAGCAGTCGCCGCGCGGCTCGCAGTACTTACCGCGATAATTCCGATTTATCGGAACCGAAAGCGACACGCGTATCATCCTAGAAGTATGTAACCACTGTAACGTTAACTGTGGTAACGATAAACTATGCGATGGAAACGCTATGGCCATGTGAGAAGTAGTTTTGGTCCCTCGAGCTTGAATTTCCAGTCGACGATCGTCTTTTCTCTCGTCGCTTAATGTTATAAATAGACTGCAGTTTTGGGAAGAGTTCAACATTTTTTATAGCAATTTCGAAAATTAAATCNTTTTATTATTATTATACGCTCACACAATTAAACAAATACACACAATATAGACGACAATTAACGGAATTAATTATAGAAGCCTAGATTAAGATGAAAATAAGATACTCTATCCTGCAAAATGATATTAGCCCTACGAAAGTTTTGAAAGCTTAGTCTTTACTATAAGTGTCATCGTGTTTTGTTTACAGCGGCGTGGTGTACGCGCCTTTCGTGTGCAGGAAATGTTCAAAAAAACGAGTAGAGCGTAAGGAAATCATTACGGAGATCGTGGAGACCGAGCAAAAATACGGAAGGGATTTACAAATTATTCTCGAGGAATTCCACAGGCCTATGCTCAGGGCTGGCTTGCTCACATCCGAACAATTATCAGCGATTTTTCTCAACGTGGAAGAACTCCTCGAGCACAATCTCGTCCTAGCGGAGAAGCTCAAGGACGCCGTGGAATTCGCCCAGGTACGATCCATCGAGTGAAAATGATTTCTTTCATGATATAAGAGAAGCAAATATAAAAGTGCAAAGCTTTTTGCATTTCGATAAAACCACTTTAATAATAGTAGATGCATTAAATCTCAGAACTTTGTTCAGATTCTGGTTGAGAATTTTTTAATAATTAAATGTGTTAATTTTTAATTGTATAGTAAAATAATAATTGTTATTCTATTGTAATTATTCTGGTCTAACTATTTTATTGACGATTTTTTAACGATTCTTAGGAATCTGGAGACGAAGATCTTTTGACGGTGGACGTAGGGAAGATCTTCTTGGAATCCGAGCGGATGTTACACGCGTTCGAAAGCTATTGCACTCGGCAAGGGAGCGCCAGTCTACTGTTACAGAATCTCGAGAAGGAGAAGGAGTTACTGCGAATCTTCTTGAAAGTCTCACAGATGGAAAATACAGTTTTACGTAGGATGAACTTGAATTCCTTCCTAATGGTAAGATATAAATTTTTATAAGAGAATCTTCTCGTTATATTGTTATACAGAG